CCACCACCTTAGGTGTATGTGGCTGGCGCCTTAGCTGCTTGAGCCACAGGCGCCGAGCCTAATCTCACATCTTTAAGTCAAATTCTGTATGTCCCTGAGGACCCCTTCCCAGTGTAAAATGAATTTAAAATACTAATTGCAACGTCAAGCTTTGTCATAGAATGATAAAGTATTTCCTTGTTGGTTTTTTTTTTTACTTTTATTCTTTTGTTCCCAGATAGTTCATGTTTTGCAAGTGTTTGCCAAAGTAATTTAAGTTGTTCCACCCTAGGGTAATATAATTCTAACCCAAAGCAAAGAAGATTAATGTTTAAGCCAGTGCAAACCCCTTTTCAAGCAAATGTTCAATTTCTCTAGTATATTAAAAGTAGACTCTGACCCTCAGGGCTGGCGACACTGGGTTAGGAACCACCAGTATAGACTCAGAATTCACTAAAGGATAGTAACATCAGAGTCTATTTTCAATTTCATCTTAGAAATTGATGAAAGCAAATTTTATGGCAGAAAAACGTTTCATAGAGAAATTATAAGGATGAAATGAGGACTTCGGTTTGATAGAATTTTTGCTTTGGTTAAACATTGGAGATTTACTTAAATCATTGTAAATAGCAAGTAATATATTTATACAATTTACTTTTCAATATTTCATTATGTCCTTCTTTTGTAGAAAACAAACTTTCAGAATTCTTTCAATTATATGTTCTGTTAGTTAGAAATTTGTTTCCCTGACGTATTTACTTTGTCAACTCAATGCCAAGAAGTGATTTTACTGCATTCAAATGTTTGGGACACCTTTGGCCCTATTATCCTTGGTCAGGTATAGGTGGGAGACTTGATCTCCAACAGATTAACAACAGAAACTACCAAGAACAGAAAGATTCCTTTAAACCTCTTCTTTATCTTGGTCCTTGGAGGAAGTGGGTCCATCTGTTTTAAGGAACAATACGGTGTAAACCCAGGAGAGAGAGAGAGGGGAGGGTAGAGCCAGCGCCAGCAAATGGAGAGGGTGGCAGGAAGAGCAGCACTGGGGTGACTAAGACCAAAGAGCGGACAGTGACCAGGAGGGGGAACTAGAGTGTGTCCAGGGAAGAGTTGAGGAGGCAGAGACAGGGTAAGCAAAAAGTCTGATAGGAGGATGAGAGAGCTTTTAAAATAAGGGGGGTGGGGGGAACCTAGGAAGGAAGCCAGCTGGAGCGAATGAGTTTGCATGTGAAGTTGTGAGTGTAGCCACACAGACATCCAGGTGGACCAGATGCACACCTGTGGGTCTGACACAGGGACAGTGGGTTCTGTCTCACCGCTTATTAGCTGTGTGCCCACTGACAAGGGGCATCCCAAGCATCACTTTATCTTTAAAACAGGTTAACAGTACAGTAGTGTTACACATACATTTAATAGACTCAAATTCACTTACATAAGCTTGGTGCTAAGTGTAATATTTTTAGCTACTTTTTGTTTAAAACAGACCCCTGAAAATATACTAATTATTTCATTCGGTGCCCAAAATAGCAGAGGGAAAAATGGCTGTGTTGGACGAATTGAGGGATGGCATATACATGCATATATACACACACTCTCTCTAAACAGTTTAATGGCTTTTTAAGAGTCCTTTTGCGAGATCTTCACATTGGGTTCTCATGTTGCACTCTGATTTTCTCATGTTGTTGATGGATTACATCAGATGATTTACATAAAGCACTTTTAGTCCAAGGCCCAACATAGGACAAGCACTTAGCAAATGTTAGCTATTACCGTGGGTGTTAGTATAGCTTTTATAATAGAAATCCAAGTACGATTTTAGAGCCACTTCTTAGCTATGTTACCTTGAACAAATAACGTAAAATCTCTAGCTATAAGATAGACTACAGCTGACCTTAAAGAACTGTATAGAATGAGCGATCTATAAAGTACCTCGCCTAAGACATGAGAATTCATTACAGGCTAGTTCTCTCCCTTTCTGGTTTCACCTATGCATGTATTTATATGTGTGCACTGTTGGGGGAAGTTATGCATACGTGCATATTTGCACATCTGTCTATCTGTAAACATACATCACTGCTAACAAACTGGATTATCTACTTACACAGGCCAGAAGGAAATCTCAGTTGAAAAAAAGCACATCAGGAATGCCTCATTTGTAAATTCTCAAATCAGTGCAATTAACCAAAGAAGAGATGCTATGACTCATCGAATACTCTCAGCAAGGCTTCATAAGATTAAAGAGCTAAAAAATGAATTAGCTGAGATACATCGTAAATCAGAAGCCATCATCATAGAAAACCAATTTTTGAAACAACTTCAGCTTAGGCATGTGAAAGCTATAGGAAAGTATGAGAACTCAAAAACTAATCTGCCTCAAATTATCATTAACCATCAGAATGAAGTAAAAAATCTAAGGCAACTACTTAGGAAATCCCAGGAAAAGGAAAGAACTGTATCTAGAAAACTTAGAGAGACTGACAGCGACTTACTGAGGACTAAAGATGCCTTGCAGGCACTACAGAAGCTTTCTGAAGACAAAAACCTGGCAGAAAGGGATGAACTCACTCAAAGATTATCTGTTCTTACCACAAAAATGGAGGCAAATGACAAAAAAATACAGGTCTGTATTTCAGAGCCCTCGATGTTGTATGGTTCCAGAATGAATAAAGAGAGCACACAATAGTCTCCTTTGCCCACCCCGCCCCAAAGCATTGCACCTGCTGTGCTGTGTTTGGCGTGCTGCCCTGAATAATTAGGGCAGCAGTTCTCAACCTGTATTAAAGGGCCTCAGCATTAGGAAGGTTGAGAACCAATGAATTAGGGTGTCTAATGGAAGGCAGCAGGAGGGAGAGGTTCAAGGTAGAACAGGACTGGAAACGCTCTTTCTGCTGAGAGTCCATTCTGTGGCTGGCTAATGACCTGGACATGACCGTTCTCTGAGCGCAGATACCAATTTCAGGGGAGTTTTTTCATGTGTTGTGCGGAACCTCTCTTTGAAACCAACCCTCTCCTTTAAACTGCTTACTAAAAGGCCACTTCCCAAAAGGCAGTCCCTTTTCTTATATTCTTCTTTGTCAATGTGGCCAGTCATTACTACATAGACATTTTTTGTTATTTTAGAAATAGGAATTTTTCCCAGATAATCCTCCAGGGAGTAAGAAAGAAAAGGGAATTTAAATAATAGATGAATGGATTGATCTTCCTCAACAGTTCATGACTGTCAGAAGCCTGGGGATTACAGCATGAGAGATGATTTCAGAGGGGACACTGGTCTCCCACCTGCTTTACACTTGAGAGTTTGAGCCTCTATGGACACACACATAAATGGAAGTCACTGACTGTTTAATACTTGGTGAGATAATACATGTATTTTCCATGAGCTTGAATTAAGTAAATATCAGGTTCGTTTCATCTATGTTTTATCTCATTCATTTGTTGGCAAAATTCTCTATTTTCATTTTCTTTTTTTTTTGAGATAGAGTCTCACTTTGTCACCCTTGGCAGAGTGCTGTGGCATCACAGCTCACAGCAATCTCAAACTCTTGGACTTAAGCAATTCTCTTGCCTCAGCCTCCCAAGTAGCTGGGACTATAGGCCCACCACAATGCCCAGCTATTGTTGTTGTAGTTGTCATTGCTTAGCAGGCCCGGGCCGGGTTCAAACTCGCCAGCACTGGGGTATGTGGCCAGCACCCTAACCACTGAGCTACAGGCACCAAGCCTGTAAAATTCTCTATTTTCAAAGACTTTTCTCACAACAAGTTGATATGTGAGCTACAGAAAATAATAAGCAACCTCATTTTTTACTCTTGTATACCAAAATTATATTAGCCTTTAGGTAATATTGAGTTCATCTTAGCATGTGTCTGTCATGTAAAAGTAAATGTATGCTGGGGGGTGCCTGTGGCTCAGTGAGTAGGGCACTGACCCATATACTGAGGGTGGTGTGTTCAAACCCAGCCCTGGCCAAACTGCTATAACAAAAAAAAAAAAAGCTGGGCATTGTGCCCCGCGCCCGTAGTCCCAATTACTCAGAAGGCTGAGGCAAAAGAATTGCCTAAGCCCTAGAGCTGGAGGTTGCTGTGAGCTGTGATGTCACAGCACTCTTCTGAGGGTGATGAAGCGAGACTCTGTCTCTAAAAAAAAAAAAGTAAATGTATGTTTACCTCATTTACATATTTTATATATAAGTATTTAAGTAGTTCATGTCTTTGTATCTATAGATAACAAAACAAATTAAAGAACTAATTAACTATTTTCCAGCTATCAGAAGCACTAACCAAGATTGGGAAATTTCTATTTGGTTGTAGAGCATTTGGTAAAGGAAAAATATTTTGTGGGCCAAAATGTGTAGGTATTTTTTAACATTAATATTTTAGGGAGTAGGACTTTTAGCGATTATTTCATACTTTTGGCTTTTTATATTTTCTACTTTTACTTAATGAGAAAGCATAATGTTATAATTTGGGAGAACCTACTTTATGTTAAAAAAAAATATATAGCCCTTTTGGTAAGTCTTCTGTCAAAGTCCAGATCAAACACTTCTCCAGTAAAATAGTTGTCACTCTGGAGAGCAGGTGAGCATGTGTGGAGATGGTCTTGTAGTCCATCAGCGGGGAGGGACGTGGTGGTGTGAGCCCCGTCATAACTCTGCTTTCTGTCGTCTGGGAATCACCATCCCTGATAACCTGCACTGATGCTGAGCAACCCTTTTTAGAGGGAAGCTTGAAATGTTTTTAAAGAGTACCTTAGACAGAGATAGCAGAATAGTTCATTTAAACAAAACTGCTTAGGTCTTCTTTTAAGATATGACATTGATTATATTTATTGATTTTTAGGATCTGTTCAGAATTTTTAAATCAAATTCCAGAGTACATAAAAAACATTAGGCTCAAGCACATGAGATTTATTCTCTAGAGCTGGGATCTGGAATTTGGGTAATACTTAGTTCTAATATCTATATGTCTCCTATAAAAGCCCTTCACTGAGATTGTACTCAAAATTTGCACTTCTCATAAATGTATTTAGTTCCATTGTAATTGCAGTTTTTAATAATACCAAATCAGTTATAGAATAGTTGAAATATATACTATTTTCAGAGCTTGGAAAAACAACTGAGGTTGAACAGTAGAGCCTTTAGCAGGCAGTTGGCTATCGAGAATCGGAAGATCATAGGAGCTCAGACAGCTACCAAGACTCTGCAAGTGGAAGTGAAACGCCTCCAACAAAAACTTAAGGTATTTATTTTAAAGAAAATGTAAGATTGAAGTTTCCCAAAATGTAAGAGTTGCTTATACTTATGCCTATTACATCTTTAAATTACTTACCTTCATGAATGTTTCCTCAAATTAAGTTTCTTCCCTACAGTAACATTAACAGATAGTGGATCTACAATAATTAGAGTGAATTAACAGTTTGGTGAGTAGGTACTATAATTAGAAAAATTAAAGTTCTGTTCTATTCATTAACAAGACTTCTTCTTATTTTTATTTCCTCACATTAAGTAATATTTCATTTTGTAAGCATTTTTTTTGGAGACAGAATCTCAAGCTGTTGCCCTGGGTCTCAGAGTGCCGTGGCATCACTGCTCACAGCAACCTCAAACTTTTGGGCTTAAGCGATTCTCTTGCCTCAGCCTCCCAAGTAGCTGGAACTACAGGTGCCTGCCACAACGCCTGGCTATTTTTTGGTTACAGTTGTCATTGTTTGGCAGGCCCAGGCTGGATAAGAACCCACCAGCCCCTGTGTATGTGAGCTTACTGCTTGAGCTATAGGCGCCGAGCCATTTTGTTAGCATTTTAATATAACTCAAAATTAGTGTTTAAATTCAAAAAATAACTTTATTATGTTTATGGCAAATGTGAATGACCCACATGTTTATTTTAAAGTCACAACTGCAAATATGTTTGAAAACTGTCTTTTAACAGTATGTGTACTGCTTTAAAAGTAAGAATTTGGGGGCCAGGTGCAGTGGCTCACCTGTATGTAATCCTAGCACTCTGGGAGGCCAAGGCCAGTAGCTGGAGCTCAGGAGTTTTACACCAGCCTGAGCAAGAGTGAGACCCTGTCTCTACTAAAATTGAAAAAACTGAGGCAAGAGGATCATTTGAGCCCAAGAGTTTGAGGCTGCTGTGAGCTAGGATGCCACGGCACTCAACCAAAGGTGATAGAATGACATTCTGTCTCAAAAAAAAAATTTTTTTTAAATATTTATTTTTCTGGCTTGGTGCCTATAGCTCAAGCAGCTAAGGTCCCAGCCACATACACCAGAGCTGGTGGGTTCAAATCCAGCCTGGGCCTGCCAAACAAAATGACAACTACAACCAAAAATAATATATATTTCAGACTTTTTGCTATCTTGCTGCCTTTGAAGATTGCTAAGATATGCAACAATTTAGATAAGACACATAAGAAATAAACTGTTTTGGCTCCGCACGGTGGTTAGGGCACGAGCCACATGCACTGAGGATGGCAGGTTTGAACCTGGCCTGGGTCAGCTAAACAATGACAACTGCAACAACAACAAAAACAAAAATAGCCAGCATTGTGGCAGGCACCTGTAGTCCCAGCTACTCAGGAGGCTGAGGAAAGAGAATTGCTTAAGTCCAAGAGTTTGAGGTTGCTGTGAGCTGTGACACCATGGCACTCTACCCAAGGCGACACAGTAAGACTCTGTCTCAAAAAAAAAAGAAACTGTTTCGAGACTCAACTAATAAATCTTAAGCTTGAATTTTCTTTCTTTCTTTTTCTGTCACCATGACTAGTGTACAACATTATGGTAACTCACTACAACTTTAAACTACTGGGTTCAAGCAATCCTTCTGCCTCAGCCTCCTGAGCTGGGACTACAGACGCCTGCTACCACACCCAGCTTTTTTTTCTATTTTTAGTAGAGACAGTGTCTTGCTCTTGCTCAGGCTGGTCTCAAACTCCTGGCTTCAAGCAATCCTTCCCCAACTCCCAAAGTGGTAGGATTACAGGTGTGAGCCACCCAGCCAACCTTGATTATTTAAAACAAGAATCTTTAACTTTTTAACGTTAAGTAGCAAATTTTGATTTCCAGGAGACTTGAGATAAGTCAGAGGCAGGGGAAGAACACTGGAGGGTTCCAGTGCCCCCCTTTTCTCTGGATTTTCAGGAAATTTAAGACAGTTTCTTCAGAAAGAAGAGTATGATGGTAGCAACCAGCATAGAAATCTAACGAACAGATGTCAAGATCCTCTGGCCAAGACAAACACACACACACACACACACACACACAGAGAATTTTAAAATAAATGTTGTGCTTCCTTATGCAGCAGACATTTTAATGTGAATAGTACAGAGCCATTAAAAACCCATTTTAACAGGAGAAATGTTTAATATTTAATGAAAAGAAAGATACAAAATTGTATGCACAGTAAGGTCCAAATTGATTTTTATAAAGAAAAGTAAATATACCTCCACACAGTGGATTTCTATGTCTCTGTAAAAAAGAATGAGGAATCTTGATACACTACTATGGATTAATCTCCAGGATATACTGATCAATGAAAAGAGGAAGGCAGAGGAAAACGCATAGTATCCTGCCATTTAAGAAAAAGAAGCAATTCGATTTGCCTATGTTTAGAAAAGAAAAGCGTTAATAGGATAACAGTGGAAACAGGGGAAGAGAATAGGCTGGAGGGGATAGTTATAAAACCTAGATTTCTTCAGTACCTTTTCACTGACTTCAATTTTGAAACCATGTGAATATTTTGCATAATTATGAAGCAGAATTAAATGTAAAAAAATAAAAGCTATCCATAAATATCCAAACCAAAATGAAAGCAAAGAGCCCAATGAACAGTGAGCCCTCCGTGACCTGAGGGGTTCTGCATCCTGCATGTCACAGCATGTCACCCTGCTCTCCCAGTGAAAGAAAGAGGCCAAAGGGGAGTCACAGCTTCACTTCGGCTCATCCTGGAACGTAGGGAAGTGGTGCAGGGGACTCCCCAGAGGAGAGCCGTAAGCAGGTAGAGGCAGGTTTTTCTATCACAAGCTTCTTTGGGAATTGCACATCTCAGTTTAGCTCATTAAACTTCCACCCCAGGGTGTGATGTTTAGCATTCAAATGAGATTACAATGAGGGAAAGGTCAGTGCAAGGTCATCTTGGGCTCCCTTTGGCTCCAGGCAATTAGACATGGGTGGGTCTGGGTTTGTGTGGCCCGGCTGTCTATCAGCTGGTGTCAGCATGTGATTTTAGTGGTCTGGGAAAGCATTCCTCAGGAGACAGATATGCCCCTCCTACGTGAGTATGGGCTGGATTCCACTGGTTGGGAGGTCATTTGTTTTGTTTTGTTTTCTCTTCTGCAGTAAGTACGACTGGGTCACATAGCCCCATGTTGCCTTCCTTGGTCAGAAGTAAGGCCCAAGTCCTGTCCCTGTAATATCTCAGTTGAATTCACAGATGTGTAACCCTCACATACAGAGGGCCAGCTGTATTCTATTGGTGGCATAATGTCACAGAGAGAAACCATTACCAATAACTTAAAACACATTAATATCATTGCATATGGCTAGTGAGATATACTGTAAGGACCAAAATCATAAAAGGTCTTAAAACTTCTTTCAGTAATGACGTTGGTGGTGATAGTGTTGATACTGTTATTTTGAGACTGTTGTGTATCCCATAGGATAAAGCACATGATGGATTATACATATATTGGTGTCTCTGGGAAATGGTATTTGGAGGATGGAAGAAAGAAAATACAGAGGTAAAATAAGGTCAAATAAAAAGCCTATAGTCCTGATTTTGCGCTGAGGTAGAAGTATGAATTTATGATGTATTTTATCTTTAAAAATAAATACATATTTCCAAAGTAACCAGCTCTGTAGCAATGACTACGCCTGGTGCCCAGATGATGGTCTTCAAACTCTAAACCCACTAAAACTAAGACTCCTAAAAAAATTCTAGCTCTGGTGAGTAAAATATACTGGATGAACCTGGGACATATTATCATACAAAAGCAAGGAAACTATCAAGGACTGTTAGTGTAACAGTGAAGGGCTCAGGAGCCATGTAGAATAGGTTCTTACTGGCTAGAGATGGGCAATTTGATGATCAATAAAGATAAGTGAATGGGTTAAAACTTAAACAGGAATTCATAATGATTCTTAAAACAAACAACTTCCATGATGAGTCACTTCTGGAGTACAGGGACCGGCATGTTATTTTGAAAACTGGTAAACAGAGGAGAAGCAGCAAATGTGATTCCCTTTCCCATACGGACTCCTCAGAGTACCCGAGGAGTGTGTGACTGAGTGAGCGCCTCCTGAGAAGTATTCCAGTGAGTAATGGAAAAGGGATGATACTGCGTAGGATTCGAATGTCACTGCTTGAAACCCCCTAATCAATGGCCATCAGTGGCCACTAGCCACTAGCATCACATGAGAGAGACCATGATACATGCACTTCCTGGCAGAGGCACACACCCCCCAGCAGAATGCATGCCAAAGAACTGAGCCTAAACCTAACTACCACAGGGCTCTAACCACTGGTTAAACCTCTGGAGGTAGAGGATATGATAAAGGACACCATGGGGCTGCAATCAGCACATCAGACTGTGGAACACTACAAACACTCCAGTTCCTGCATCAAATAAACAGCAAAGTGGAAATAATAACAAGAGATGGGGCTCAGCGCCCACGGCTCAAGCAGCTAAGGTGCCAGCCACATACACCTGAGCTGGTAGATTCGAATCCAGCCCAGCCCGCCAAACAACAATGACAGCTGCAACCAAAAAATAGCCAGGTGGTGTGGTGGGCACCTGTAATCCCAGCTACTTGGGAGGCGGAAGCAGAACAATCGCTTGAGCCCAGGAGTTGGAGGTTGTTGTGAGCTGTGATCCCATAGCACTCTACCCAGGGCAACAGTTTGAGGCTCTATCTCAAAAAAAAAAAAAAAAAGAGATGGACATAGGAACCTACTGATGAAAAGACACCAAGAGATGTGCTAATCCTGGTTTTTCAGGCCTTGCTTAAATCCTAATTCTAACAGACTTAAAAAACTGTAGCCATCTCTGATGTGATCTGACCTTAAAAACAAACAAAAAGGCTTGGCGCCCATAGCCCAGTGGTTAGGCTGCCAGCTACATGCACCGGGCCTGGTGGGCTCAAACCTGGCCCGAGCCTGCTAAACAACAATGACAACAACAACAACAAAAGCAGTAGGGTATTGTGACAGGTGCCTATTCCCAGCTACTTGGGAGGCTGAGT